CCGGATGTGTGTCTGTGCTTCCGATACAGAGGTCAGGTTGGTGGAGACTGACAACCCCTTTGGAAAATAAAATGGTCCCTGATGTAATTTAATGTTAAGTAATGATAATTGGCAGCAGAGAAGGGTGACCGTCACTCATGTGACAGGTTGACAGTAGGGGCCATAGGCAAAGCTGTGCCTCAGGTGCTAGGAATATGTAGTTGGGTAAAATAGACCAGAAAAGTGAGTGGCAATGGGATGTAAAATAGGCATTTTAAAATCTAATTTAAAAATGAAATTGGGCCGGGCGTGGTGGCTCACGCCTGTAATCCTAGCACTCTGGGAGGCTGAGGCGGGCGGATTGTTTGAGCTCAGGAGTTCGAGACTAGCCTGAGCAAGAGCAAGACCCCGTCTCTACCAAAAATAGAAAGAAATTAATTGGACAGCTAAAAATATATACAAAAACTTAGTCGAGCACGGTGGCACATGCCTGTAGTCCCAGCTACTCGGGAGGCTGAGGCAGTAGGATCGCTTGAGCCCAGGAGTTTGAGTTTGCTGTGAGCTAGGCTGACGCCACGGCACTCACTCTAGCCAGGGCAACAGAGTGAGACTCTGTCTCGAAAAAAAAAATTAAATTAAATTAAAAAAATAAATAAAAAATAAAAAAAAATGAAATTGGATGTGGAGTAAAATTTTGGTAGAAAAAAGATCTAATGACTGGGATAAGACGGTGGGTTTGAATTTAAAATAACCTGCTGAACACCAGCTTGTTGCTAGCCATGCTTCATCCTAAGGCTTTTCCTTTTGTGTTTAAAGTAAACCGTAGAAAATGGATTTTAAATATTATTTTGTTCACCTGCGAGTCCATGTTTCTGCAGAGCCTAACAGTGCTGTGGCAGCTGAGCCTGCTGCCTGGAGCTTTTATCTGATTGTTAAACCTCTGGGTTCTTGGCAAATGCATACGAGTATTTAATTTTCATTTCCTGATTTCAGTGTAATACCAGAAAAATCATACAAGCCGATGGCCAGTGTCTAGTGTTTAAAATTGCAAAACATTAAAAAGAAATACTAATTATAGCCTGTATCTTAGTGGGGGATGTAAGGCGATTTTAGAATTGGAAGAGGTCTTTTCTCTGGAAGAAGGAATCACCCCTCCTTTCAGAGGTGATGAAGGTTAGGTCTGGAGTCCTTCGCTCGAGGTCACAAAGCCAGAGACCACGGGAGAGAGCAAGCAAGGAGAGCTAGGTGCCTTCCCAGGAAACCTGTCCTGACTTCCGTGCTAGGATTCGACCATCGAGAAGTACCACGTGTGTAGAGGATTCTGCAGAAACATGTTAGGAGAAACAGACCTGTGAAATTTGTCCAACTCATGCTTGCCCGACACCTATAAGACGGGTGGGGGTGCAGAGATGCATGTGAGGAGGAGGGCCACCCTCCATGGTGTCATTGTCATTCCAGGAGAGCTGGGTGGGGACGCCCACCAGGTTCCTGCTTCCCAGAGAGGTGGGGCAGCCGAGGATTCCCTAGCGGTGCAGGGAACTTCGGTGGCCCCAGGGCCAGGCTCCACGCCTCCCCTCTTGATTTGAAGGTGACCCAGTCAAGCGATTGAGGGATGGGGCCTGGGACCAGCATGGCCTCATCAAGGTGGAGCCCCAGAGTCCCCCAGGCAGGGACGGCCTCCATGCGTCCCTGGGCAGCTGCTGGGAGGGCAGGGTTGGAGCGGGGGCTGCCGGAGACACGGTGTCTCGGGGCACAAGTGTGTGTGTGCGGCTCGGGACACGGGTCAGGATGGTGTCTGGCTGTGAAGGGCACAGGGGAGGGACCGAGGCTGGGAGTGGGTGCAGGACAGGAGAAAAACCTATGCAGAAACCTGCTGGAGAGCTGTGGTGGGTTTCACTGAATACAAGTAGGAGGGAGAGAAAAAGGGAGATTTGAAAATGTTCTGGAGGTCAGATGGTGGGGGCGGGGCTGGGCTGGCAGTGGGGACTGTGATGATCTGAGTGTGCTGCGTCCTCTGTGTCCCCGGCAGGGTTCTGAGCTTCTGTGTGTTGACTCATTAAAGAAAGCTGGATGCGTTATCCCCGTTCCGCTGGTGGGGAAACAGAGGCCCACGCGGTCCGGTAACTTGGAAGAGGTCACCCAGCTGGGAAGGGCTTGGCAGGGCTTCGCACCTGGTGTGCTGACGCCCGTGCAGTGCTGCGCCCACTGGGTTGCTTCTGAGAGCGAAGAAAGGATGAAGCCCCCTCCTCCCCGGCCACCTGCTGTCCTCTTCTCCAGGCTGGTCCCTCGCGTCTGGGCCCCCTCCAGCCTCACCCGGCTCAGCCACTCAGTCCAGTCGCTCCCCCCCACCCAGTGCCCCTTTTCTGACTGCTGATTGTGCCAAACATCTCCCCCAGCAAAGCATCTCCAAATAGGCCTTCCAGGCGGAACTCGCTCCTGCGTGCCCATCCCCTCTTTTCCTGGGAATATCAAAACTTCTGTCTCCCCTTTGGGACTTTGAAGATGGTGGGAGTGGGGCAGGAGCCCATGTCCCTGCATACAGCAGGCACTCCCTAAGAGAGCGAATGTGTGCGCAGAGCTGCAGACCTGGCGTGGGCATCTGGGTGGATAGTGGTGTCTTGATGAGAGGTCAGGATGACCAGAGTCTGGGACAGAGTTGAGGTCGCCGTTCTGAGGATGTCCAGGGGGTGCCCCGGTGTTGGTGACCAGGCGCGGGGTCTGCCGCAGTGCTGACTCGGGAGCTGAGGGCCTGCGCGGCTGGGTGGAAGCCGTTTCCCAGGCAGTTGCGCCGTGGCCGTCGCCTGACTCGGGTTCCCATCGGAGGGAGAAGCCTTAGACTGAGACACTGAGAATGGCAGGGAACATTTTTAAGCCTTTGCACAAACTCCCGTGGCTTCTCCTTGCTCCCGGTGGGTGTGACTAATCAGACCTCTAGGAACAAAGTGTGAAGGGAAAGATTTTTCCCAAAGTAAAGAGTGACAGATTTCCTTTTCCAAATGCTGTCTTTCCTAAAAGGTTGAATTCGGTCCATCTCACCAAGAAAGAGCAGGTTTCCAGCATCTCTTTTTTAAAAGAGCTTTTAGAAGAGGAAGATAAGATCAGTTACTGTCCTAACTTTCGCACGTTTTCCTGTTTTAAGCAGGTTTGTGAAGTGTTAAGTATCTTTTATAAATGCGGAAGTTCCGAATAGCGCCAGGGATCCCTGCCAGCGTGGCTCCCATGGCCGGGCACCGCTCAGGTGCCCTGTCAGCTCCTCCTCACCCGCTCACGCGGGGACGCAGGCCGGGAGAGGCCCGCACAGCTGCCGACTCACGTGACTCATTCAGACAGAGCCGGGCCAACGTCGGGACGCCGTCCCCCGGCTGTCACACCGCAGGGGCACGTCTGCTGCGTGTCAGATGTTTCCTGGCTTATTTCATAATCCCAGTGGCTCTGCTGGAAAGCGGGGTCGTCCCCTTTGACCTTTGAGGGGTCCGCAATTCGGGGACCTTAAGTCATTTTCTGGTCCTCCTGCCGCGGGGGCGGGGCCAGCACGGATGTGGCTCAACATGTCTGGGTCTGGCGACCCGGCCGGCCCGTCTGGTGGATCCACCTGAGTGTTTTCTGCGGACTCTGCCCTCTCTTCTCATCGATGGGGGACACCAGAATGAGCTTATCTGCTTCGTCGCAGCATTGGAAGGTTCTCTGTTTTTATCACTGAGCAAACTGAACACCAGATAAAGCAGCGCAGTTACCTGTTACCATCAGCGTAGGAGCGAGTGTGAACACGCGTGTGCCGCGGGAGATGGCAGAGAAAGGTCGGTTTCCCGGCCAGCCCTCGCTGGCCGCAGAGGGTAGCTGCCCGTCTTTTGGGCCTCGGACACGTCTTCAGGTTGGGAAGGGGTCGGCTGAGGCCTCGAGCTTCTGTTTCTTGGCCATTAACGTGGCCCAGACCCAGGATTCTAGGATGGGAGGTTCCCGTCGCAGGGGAAGGAATCCGATGTGGCTCTGGGTGGCAGAGGGCCGCAGGCAGCCTCTCGGGCGGGTGGGGAGTCCATTAATTTGAGGTTTTCACTGGGTTTCTGGAACGCATTTGCACAGAGGAGCTGAAAGCCAGGGTAGGAAGGAACTCATGCGTTCTTCTCTCAAAAACAAGAATTGAGAGTCGCATGAGGGTTAACCAGCGTGGACTCGGAGCCCAGACTCCCGGCAGGTGGTTTATCTTTGGAGAGGGCAGAGGACCCCAGAGCGCAATCTTGGTCGCTGCGCGGGAAGGAGAGGGTCCGGCAGTCCCGCCCGGGTGCCGTGGCAGCTGTGTGTTCTTGGATCCCCCGAGTGCCCGCCCACCTTCCTCTCTGTCCCCGTTCCAGCAGGGCCCGGTGGTTTCTCGCTAACCCCGTGTGGTCTCTAACGCCTCTCGTCAGCCGCTGCACTGCTCTGTCTCGCCCTGTGCCGCGACCCATCCAGTAGTTTCTGTGTAACACGTGTGTAGTAGCCGAGCATCCTCCCTTACTCGTGAACTGTGACTGCAGAAACACCATTCTCATGATGTTCTATGTGTTCCTTTCAAGAACTGGGTTTCTCTTGAGGAGAATACAGGGTCTCAGCCCTTGAATTTACCAAGCGGTTGTAGACGAGGCACCTGTGAAGCTTGAAAAATTTGTTCCAGTTTTGTGACCTCAACAAGAGAATGACAATTTCAGTGTTCTCTGTTTCCCAACGAGTGAGAATTCCTGAATTTACACATAAAGCCTACTTGAAAATTCCACACTTCTTGGCCGTGAGCGCCTGGCATCGCGTGGGAGGCGGTGCCTTCTAACTGGAAGTGAACACGGTTTTTAAAGACAAATATTTAAATCTGAGTTCAGTTCTTTTAAAATTCAGTGGTTGCTGGAGACATGGAAATCCACTCCTAAATACTCAGTTAGCTCCCTCCAGGGCGACAGCCTAGGATGTATTTTTCCACAAGCGAAGCCCACGTCTGTTTGCTCTCTTAATGCTCTGTTTTTCTTTTGTAACAAGGTTTTTTTTGTGTGTGGCAGGTGGCAGGTTCAAGAAAGAGATTGTTGTCGATGGACAAAGCTATCTGCTGCTGATCAGAGATGAAGGGGGCCCCCCGGAGGCGCAGGTCGGTATTACGTGTATGCTGGTAGCTGGCGTTTGCCTTTGTTTTCTTTTTAAGGTTCTGATTAAACAAGTGGTTGTAGAAATCATTGAAGCGCTTTCCAAAGAAAAGGGGAAATCCCATAAAAGTCCTTTCTATAACTGCAGTTTTTCTCATCTCTAAGAAACAAATTCTGTTGTTTTTTCAGACTAAATCCTAGAGAGAGGTTGGGTCTGTGCGGCTCATTTTTTTCACTTTTTGTGTTTTTAAGAAGAAAGGAAAAGCAGACTCTGCCCCGATTTGCCACCCCGGTTTTTGTTTGATTTTTGGTTTTTTTCTTTAAGTAGTTTGCTCCCTAGAGCAACATGGCCACTTAGGAAATGCACCGGGCGGAATTTGGGGCGAGGGCAGCGGGCGCCTCTGTGGCCACCTGGGCCCGAGGAAGCCTCCGCTGCAAACTGTGTGCAGCCTGCTGCCATTTCTTTGGGAATTCCTTGGACAGTGGGCATTCTGGAAATAAAAAAGCACGAGTGTGGAAAACCTCCTTTGGTTTACTTGATCCAGTTCATTGTTTCACTTACATCATGATCTACTAGCCAAACACTTGGAAGAAGCCGAGAGCTAGTAATAGCCAGTGATCCTTAATGCAGAGTCAATATTAAACATTTCCTTGGCTTTCTTTCTTGAACTTACCTGTTTGTGGAAGCGAAGCATAGAATTATAAGACGGTGAAAGTAAAAGATACTGCATACAGGGATTGTTAAGTGTCTAGTACTCCTGGCATTGGAGGATTGTGCAGCTGTTCAGAAAATGTCATGGGTTTGCCATGTTCTGTTGAATCTAAAACACCACTGATTATAAGGTGTACCAATATTTACGTGAAAAATGCTGCCGGTTAAACTGAGACATCAATAATAAGGTGTGTTCTGATTTCAAAGACGTTTACGCGTGAAAAATTTTATTTCTTAGCATTGACAATACCATATACTTTGTCATGATAAGGAAAGATCTTGAAGACATGTTAAAAGGGAAGAAAGTTGCTCACAGAGTAGTTTGAGCCCATGTTCAGTGAACATCTGCTAATTTTTAATGAAGTAGGCAAGGTTTGAGATCTGTCCGGCACTGTCCTGGGTTTGTTACGGTGATAAAGCCACATAACTCGTTCTTAGTCAGATTTAGCACATGGGACAGTCCGCGCTGCTACGACAAGGGTTCCGTTGATGCGCGGTCCCTCTGAGGCAATCGCAGACAGCACAGGGAAGTAGGTAAAGTGCGGCAGTCACCTGGGTTCATTTTCCGTTTTTCCCAGCACATAAATGTTTCGAGTGACTAGAAACAAGCTTTCCCCTCACAACTAAAGAGCAAACCTTGGCAGTATATGAAGAACCTAAGAAAAAAAGAAAGAAAAATCTACAGAACTGCACAGACGAGCTGGTTCAGTGGCTTCCAGAAACGCCGTGCTTTGAGTCCTGCCCCAGGTCCACTCTGGAGAGGGCTGCGGCCCTGGGTTGAGGGCCGCAGAGCGCTGACCCCACTTGGCTTCAGGGTAAAGACTGAACCCTGCCATGAATGTTACGAGGGCGCCTTTTGCACTCGAAAGCACGTTCTTGCGTGTGCGCCCATTAGAAAGCCCGTACCGAGTGTTTCCGCAGCGCCACGTGTCGGAAGACAGAATCCCGTTATTTTGACTCCAGTGGTGTTTTCTTCTGAGAAAGATCTTTTCTCTAATATCCATGGAAAATGCATCTTTTATAGAGCTTAAGAGGCTGAGAATATGTAATGTCATTTGATAAAAAGAGCATTTTCCTTTTAATCATTACAATTAAGGAATTGCTTTAAGAAAAAAAACACATTAAGGCCTGTGACAAACAGTTGCCTCCTGCTTGTTCTTACGCCTCAGAGGCACCCACATTGTGAGCTGAATCCCGTGACGGTGACGCTGGGTGAGGCCCTGCGCCGCACGTCACTGGGATCTTCTCACTTTATCCCCGAGGCCACCCTGGGGCAAGGTCGTTCCCCGTGTTCCCTTGAGGATGCTGGCGCCCCGAGATCTCACCCAGGTGTGGGCGGCTGGGACGGGGTGATGGAGGTGCAGAGCCAGGTGGCCTGCCCGGGATCCCACCCGGCGCTGGGGGTGGAGCCAGGACCCCCGGGCGCTCGGCCTGGCCTCCGGCTGGGAGAAGGGATTCACTTCATTTCCCTCATGATCAGCCCCTTGTTCTTGCAGAAGCTGTTTATAGTTAAAGGACAGATTTCTTTTAAACACTTGGGGGAATATCACGATGGAACCTTTCAAAATTGTGGACAGGATTCCTTTCTTTTCGTTATTACAGATCATTTGATACAGTCTACCTGAAGATACTGACTTCACAAAAGAAATTGCAGGACTCGTGGCTACCAGTGTCATTTTAGCATAGTGTAAAACTCTGCCAATTAACTGCAGGTTTTTTTCTTTGAAACCTTTAATTTTCTAACGAGGAAGGCATGGGGGGTATTTATGGGTGCCCACCACCTACGAGGTGCTGGGGAGGTCAAATGCACCCTCAGGAGAACGGGCCGTGCTCCCAGCTTCCTCTGTGTGGGGGTCAGATGTGTCCCAGCTTCTGTCTTGGGAGTTGAGTTCTGGCCCCGGGGTAGGACAGCCGACGCCCTTCACGCGCTGGGGCTCGGGGAGGCTGAGTCCCCCTTTCTTGGAAGAGACAGGAAAACATCCCTCGAGGCAGAGAAAAGGAAAAGGAGGTACCTGCTGTGGCCTGGGCCCTGTGCTCCCTGGAGGAGCCATCAGTTTTCGCAGGTCTGTACCAGGCTTCCCCTTTCTGAGTTCTCTTCCTCACTTAGTTTTATATTTATCATTAGAACTTCGGGTTTTTAAAAGTTTTATCATGTAAATGTTTTACATGTCACTGAATACCCTTTTCAGTTACACGTGGAAGTCAGAGTTTAGCCCATAAAAAATTTGCCCACATGTATTCATGATACCTTGGACATAAAAACTTATCTAGGAACTGCCGCTTCTTTTAGAGAAAGCAAACAGACGTATATTTTTTTCCATTTTCACTTGGAAAGAGAAGGGTCTTTGGTGCCAGAGAGATGCAATCTCGAGTCTGCTGTGCCGGTTGTAGGGAGAGTGCAGGAAGCTGCTGGCCTGCAAGGAGCCTCCGTTCGCTGAGCTCCGGCTCTGCAAGATAGTTGCACTGTTCACAAAGGGGATCCCGCACCCCGACAGTGTGGGTCCTTGTCGCAAAGGATTTGACGTAGGTTATGCTGAGCTCCGGCAAAACGAGTAGAATAGCAAGAGCCAGGCCATTGTGAGGTTCCCCCCTAATTTTTGTTGATTTCCCTAAGAATAAGTAGTACTTCCCTCGCAGGGGTGCGCAGGAGTTTGGAGACACGCTCTGACGGTGTGGGCCGGCGGCCGTGGTGGTGGCGGGAAGGACGGTGGTGGGTTTCTGCGCAGGCTGGGGGCCTAGCAGGGCTCCTGGAGTGTCTGAAGAGGAAGGAGGCTGCTTGTAAAACAGACAGTCTCGGGGGCCGAGAGGCTCTGGTGGGAGGGGAGTTGGCCTTCTCTCTGCAGGGCTGCAGTCTCCTGGGTCAGGGCAGGGGCCGGACGTTCCAGGAACGTATAGACAGTGGCCTCGTGGGGCAGCATGAGGGCCCGTTCCCGAGGGGAGCACAGAGGCCCGCGGGGCTCAGGGGGAGGGTCAGTGATGCCACAAGGAATAATAACCAAACTCAAAGGTCAGCGTCAGACGGCGACTGAGGGGCATTCCCGGGCACCCGCCGGCCATGCTGGGCTCTCGGAGGTGGTCCGAGCCCTTCCCGCCGCCTCTGCCCAGCCTCACCTGGCGCCTCTGCCCCTCTCCTCTCCGCAGTTCGCCATGTGGGTGGACGCTGTCGTGTTCGTCTTCAGCCTGGAGGACGAGATAAGCTTCCAGACCGTGTACCACTACTACAGCCGGATGGCCAACTACAGGAACACGAGCGAGGTCCCGCTCGTCCTGGTGGGGACCCAGGGTGAGTGACGTCGCGCACGGATCGCTCCTAAAGGACGCGGACAGTTTGGGCAGCGACTGGGTCCGTGGTCTGTATTTTTGGTATGGAGGAATTTAAGAAGGGTTTAAAGAAGGAATAATTGCCTACCGAAGGCTCCCTTTTTATGAGAATTTATGAAACCGAAATTAACTGTCACGTTTCCTGATTGATTCTATGTAGAAACCACTCAGCAGCCTGAAAATACACACACACACCCCACACGCACCCAAGCACTTTAGAAAAATAACATCTATTTTCTCTTGTTTTCTATATTATGATATTTTAATTTTCTGTTGTATAAAATAATGTGTAAGCAATTGAAAAGCTTATTTTAACTATTTGGTGCATTTTTAAAATAATATTGATTTCTGACATAGCAGAGTTTTGTTTTATTCTGTTCTGTTTGTCAGTGTCTTATGATCTAGACCTTATTTTTAATGTAGCAGGTCCCTAAGTATAGAATCACACTGGGCACATTTCTTGTTTTCTTCTCGGCCACTTAAAACTTGTGCTCTTAGTAAAGTGACTGTCACATGGGATCAGACACAGCATCCTTGTTCTTTTTTTTTTTTGAGACAGAGTCTCACTGTGTTGCCTGGGCTAGAGTGCTGTGGCGTCAGCCTAGCTCACAGCAACCTCACACTCCTGGGCTCAAGCAATCCTCCTGCTTCAGCCTCCCAAGTCGCTGGGACTACAGGCATGCGCCACCATGCCCGGCTAATTTTTTTTTCTATATATTTTTAGTTGTCCAATTAATTTCTTTCTAATTTTTTAGTA